CTTAAGTGTTTTTAATATTTCTAACTGTAAAGCGCTTTTGAACTTTTAGGATATTGGCGCTATATAAATATTTTATTATTATTATTATTATTATTCGTTCATATTCAAGGGCTTAATCCAAAGATACTGTAAGGGAATTAAAGTGCAGCAACTCTTTCTCAGCAAGGACAGTTGGCTGGTACCCCAAATCTGGCAAGTCAAAATTTGGCACTGGATGTGCAAGGTTTTCGGAGCTTCTTTTACTCGTTTGCTGCTGCTGATCGGAGAGGACAGACCCCCGTGGAATCAACCTATACTTTGTCTCGACCAGAGGAATGTCTTCATCTTTGACTGGCAAATCCGCAAAAACCCAGGCTTGGGATCAAGCTCTTCAAATAATGGGCTGAGGGTACTTGGTAGATTAAGGGAAGCAACCTGTTCCTCAAAAGGCTTGTACACAGTACAAGAAACCCCTGACACGTTCCGTTTTTCTTAACCTGGGTAGGTTCCTGAGAAGGGTTCTCAGCCTTCTGGATAACAACATCCATAACTGGCCTTGGACTAACTCCTCCAGTTCTGGAAAGAATATGCCAAGTCTAGGAATAAAACAGTAAAATGGGTCTTTTAAAAGGGCTAGCCCTAAGAAGTTTTCATATCTTTTTGGGATAAAACTAAAGTTGGCCTTCTTCACTTGTGCTTCAACTAATTTAAATAAACCCTTTTGCAAGTATTTGAAACGGCAATATGTAAACCTGACGTAGAACCCAAAAACTCAAAAAAGGTACCGGTAGTTTCTACTTTTTTTTTTAACAATTTTATAGAGAAATTTACCTGCGGTTTGGAGGTTTTAGAAACAACAGGCGGCACAATTTTCAACCCGAGCATTTGGTAATGAGCCAGTGTATACATGAAGTCAATAACGTGGTGGCAAAGGCCTTGACCGGCCGCACAGCTGCACATAAATGACTCCACTCCGACTTTGTTTTGACGCTTGAACACCACAGAAGGTCTGTGGGGCTCTTCATTCTTCTTCATGCTTCTGAAGCATTTTGCTCTGACCGTAATTCCCTCTTCCTTGGCAAGCCTAACTGTGAAAAATGAAAAAAAAACTACGTTTGTTTCGACCAGACTCTAAACTTCGATTGCTAAAGAAGGCACGAATAACGATTAATCGAGCAATGACGCTCAATGCAGATACAGCTGGAAGCTTACCTTCCACATCGTGAATATATGATTCGTAGAAGAATTTATACCCTCTTGTCAATGTCACCTTCACTGGAAGGTTTTGACCAGCCATTTTTTCGATAAAGGCTTTTGTGAACGACGGTATGTCCACCGGATTGCGGTGCCAAAACTCTGAAGAAATCGAAGTACTCGCTGACTCAGCCATGATGTTTTAACACGCGTAGCCTCGCTTTCATGCGAAAAATGGTGACGTTGCATCCAACATGGCAGACTGTGATTAAGGCAAATTAAAATATACAAGCAAACTCTATGACTGTTCGTCAGTGATGATTAAATATTTGGTGACTGAATATGTCCATCTTGCTCTCCTTCTGAGTCATTTTTTGGTAAAGTATTATGTGTTATATTTGTTAATTCTATTCACAGGACAGAAAATGGTCTTCACAAAATGGTCTTCACAATGTTTTCACGTTAGGATTAGTTCTTTTTAGGGACTTGGTAAGTTGTTTTTTTGAAATTATTTTCTTGATTTTTGTGCATTGGAACCTCGTCAATCCGGTCACCAATGGGCCACAAAAATCTTGCCATATTAAACTGTTCTTTCAATAAGAAAATGGCTGACTGAGCTTTTGTTTGGGCCAGAATAAAGTAGCCGTATTAACGGGGTGGCCTTAAGGCTGGGTTCCACTGTATATGTACATGACTGGATTTATGAAAACCGTGTCAATACTTTGTGCCAAATCACCCATATGCACTTTGAATTCATGACTCCTAAGGGCCTTAAAATCACTTCAAACTATGGGAAGAGATTGGAGAAAAAAAAGTTTGACGTTCCTTTTAATTTGTATATCGTTTGTATATCGTCATTGGCGAAAACACTGTTTTCGTAAATCCAGACATGCTTGTATTTGGTAACAAACAAATTGCCGTCAACTTCCTCATGCGTTCGTCCTTGTATTGATTGCATATGTAATCATTGTTATGGCTGCATGGGTTTGCATCATGATCCACAGAGTACTTTGTCAATGTTATAATAAGATTCAGAGTCAATGAGAGGACATACGCATAACTTTTCACAACAACAAAAAGCGAAAATGGTTAAGGGTAGACTAGTGAATCTTTTAGACACGAGATGCTGTTAAGTAAAAGTATGAGAGAACCAGAAACAAGATTTCCTTGATTCTATTCTTGCATCAGTAAGGTTCCTTTGAACACAGCAAAAGAGAGAGGTTTCCATTAACGGAATTCCGCCTCAAACATTAGCTATTAAAATAGTACAATCTAGTTTCATATGAAAGTAATGTTTCACGATTCTGATGATTCTGTCTTCAAACAGTTCCCATTAAGATGTCACTAGTCGCTTTTAATTCATGTCAGTAGTTAGGTATGCGTAACACTCTGTAAAGGTATTGACGTCACCTTTGTGCCTGTCAAGGGGAAATTCTAATTATTATTAAAGTGCCTATGAAGTGAAAATTGTTTTTGTCTAGTTATAATATTTACCTTTTGAAAAACAAGATTC